TTGTAGTAGCTTAATTGGCCATAGCAAAAAATGGGAAATTTTAAAACATTCATTTTACAGATAAGTGGATAAGTGATATATCCATGTAATGGGATATTTAGCGTATAAGTTAGTGTTCTCTGCAGAAACAGAATACTACATATACGAGGATAGTAACAAACATTACAGAGGCCGAGAAGTCCCGTGACATGCCATCTGCAAAATGGAGGAGAAAGAAAGCCAGTGGTGCCAGTCAGTATAGATCTTAAGGCCTGACGACTAGGGGCATTGGAAGTATAAGTCCTGGTGGCACTTTCAATGTTCAAGTGCAGAAGATGAATGTTCCATCTCAATAGGAAAGATAAATTCATCCTTCCTCTGCCATTTTTCCCCCCATTTGGGAAAAATGGATCTCAATCGACTGGATGATGCTCATACATCTTGGCAAACAATCTAAGTTGATAAGTTGTTCTTTACACAGTCTACCGATTCAAAAGCTAATCTCCTCCAGAGACACTCTGATAGACATGGCAGAAATAAGAGTCACCTCTCCAGTATCTCTTAGCCCAGTAGAATTGACACATAAAATTAATCATTACACTTAGCCATTAAAGAAAATAAATGATCGACACATACAACACCATGGTCAAATCTCAAATAATAATACTGAATGCGAAAAAAAACACACCAGACCCCTTCCCCACAAAAAGCACATATTCAATTATTCCATTGATCTAGAAGTTCTATAAAATGCAGACTAATTTATACTCACAGAACACAGATCAGCTGTTACTTGCTTGTGCAAAGTCTGGATAACAAAGAAACCTAGTGAATATCTTGGAGTGATAGATATGCTCATTTTCATAAGTATGTTGATAGTTTTACAGGTCTATACTTAATCTCAGACTTATCAAATTGTACAGTTTTAATTTGTGCAGTTTTTTTATATCAAGCACCTCAATAAATTGTTGAAAATGTATTTCATGAAAAAGAAGTAGTTTGTTTGGTATAAACTGCCATGACTACCACTACCTATATTGTATTCTCAGTTGATACACAATTAGACTATAGTTCTACGAAATCAAAGAAATGTGACAGAAGAGACAATCATCACTTCCTTTTCTGGCCCATAAAAATCTTCCAAAGTATCCACTCTCCCTTAAATCATGTGTTGACTAAAGGGTGACTCTTCATAACTCTGAGCATGACAAAGTCATGAGATGGGAGAAGCCTGGTCACCTGGATAATTATGTGAAGGAGACTGCCTAAGAGATCCATATGACTAAGCCTTTGGGCTGCTGTAAGAATAAAAAACAATGTTTGTTTGTTAAAGAATTAAGAGTTGAGGTATTTTCTATTGTAGTAGCTGTGACTGTCTTAACTAATAAAGAAACTGATTCTGGGTTTTAAGTCATACTGCAACCCAAAATATGTGGCATTGACTTAAGAGTCAGATGATGGGTAGTAAGAAAAAAATATACAATAGACTGCATATCCAGAGAGTTTTGTCCTGTTCATTTGGTAAGATTTGATAAAATATCTACCTCTGATAATTCATAAAGGAGACCATTCTTTGAGACTTTAGCAATCTCTCCCTTTATCTTTATGTCACCTTCTCTCCTTCAAATATCCCTCTGCTTTTCACTACTTAAAACATTTGTGATTTTGTACAGGGGCATCTGGATAGTTCAAGATAATCTTGCATCTCAAGATGCTTAATCACATCTATAAACACCCTTGCTTCCAAATTAGGTAACAGTTATGGATTCTGGGCACCAAGACCTGTCATCTTTGGGTGTCATATTTCAGCACACCACATAGACAAAGTTTTAAATCAGATATTTTAAATGTTCAAAGAGCTAAAGAAAACCATGCCTAAAGAAGACTATAATAGGGAAAAATGTCTCACTAAATAGAGAATATGAAAAAGAGAAATTGTGAAAAGATTAAAAAAATAGATATTTAGGTATTGAAAATAAAATAAAAAATAAAGAATTCAGTAGAGGAGTTCTAGCCCATTTGATCAGGCAGAAGAGAAAGGTGAAGAAAGCCTGAGGAAAGGTAAAAGAAGGAATTAAAGTTATCAGAGCCTCAGCAACTTGTGGGATGCCACAAGGAATACCAACATACACACAATGAAAGAAAGGAGCAAAAGGAATATTTGAAGAGGTAACTGCTAAAACTGTCCAGAATGTTATGAGAAACACTAATCCAAATTTCCAAGAAGCTCCAGGAGATACATGCAAATTTAAGGAAATCCACACCTAGATAGATCACACATAACCAGACTGAAAAGATGAGAAGAGAAAGCTCAAACCTCAAAAGCAACAGGAAGTCACTCATGGTGTATACAGGAGTCTCAGCAAGATGAACAGCGGATTTGTCTGCAGAAACCATGATGGTTGGAAGGAATGGGATAACATTCAAAAGGAGGGAAAGAAAAAGACTGTTAACCAAGAATACTAAATCCAGTAAAGCGATCCTTCAAACTGAAATTAAGGTATAGCAAAACTGAGAAACAAAAGAAAATGTTTGTTTTTGTTTAAAATTGAGAAATTCTGTCACTGCTAGTCCTGCCCTAGAAGAAATAGAAAAGGTACTCCTAAAATGAAATAATAAAAAACAGTAATTCATTAAAAATCCAATGAGCACCTGTAAAGATAATTGCATAGGTAAGTATAAAAACAGTGTGTGTGGTTTTTTAAAAAAATTTTTCTCCTATTTGGTTTAAAAGACAACTATATAAAGTAGCAATTATACAATATAGAAAGATGTCATTGTTTGGACAACAACACAAAAACTGTAGGGATAACAGAGCTATATTGGAGGAAAGGTTTTGTATACTATTGAAATTGACTTCAATTAGATCATTATAAATTAAAATGTTAATTGTAATCTACAGGGAAACTGCCAAGAAAATATTAAAAATATGTAGCTAAATGCTATAAGTCAAATAGTGTCCAACAAGAAAATTAAGTAGAAAATACTTATTTAGTCAGGTGCAATGGGCCATACTGCAATCCTAGCGATTGGGGAGGCTGAGGAAGAAGGACTGCAAGTTTGAGAACGGCCTCTGCAATTTAGTGAGACTCCCAGCAACTTAATAGAACCCTGTTTCAAAATAAAAAGGGCTGGGGATATAGTTCAGTGGTAAAGCATCTCTGGGTTCAATCCCTAGTTTAAAAATAAAAGAAGAAAGAAAGAAAAAAATTATTTACTCATTTTAGTATGACAGAAAGCATTAATGGCAATAATAGAGGAACAAAAAAGACATTTGACATATAGAAAACGTAGAGCAGAACTGCAGACATAAATCCCTCCCTATCAGTAACTACACAAGTGTAATTGGATTAAACTGTTTAATCCTAAAGCCCAGATAGACAATTGGATAAAGAAAAACAACTCCTTTTATAGTTGACTTAAATAGAATGTACTACTATGAACACACTGACCGAAAGAAATGTTTGTTTACTGATAAATGCTCCAAAAATAGATAAACTTTCAAAGTGTTATGTTAAGTGAAAAAAAGCCAAGCACAAAAGATTGAATATTGTATTACTACAGTTACATGAACTGTCCAGGACAGGCAAATCCAGACCCACAGATAGCACATTAGTGATTTCTAGGGGCTGGGAAGGGGCAGAGGTGGAATGGTCACCAGTAGGTGTGGGGTTTCTTGTGGAGGAGAGTAAAATATTCTATAATTAGATAGATATGGTTGTAGGTTAGATAAGTCGGAATACATTAAAATATACTGCATTGTGCACTTTAAAAGGGTGACTTTTGTAATATGCTAATTATTTTATAATCAAAATTAATTCGTTTTTAAAAATAGCTAGCTGGTTAAAACCAGATAAATGAGAACAGTGAAAATACAGAGATCAAGTAAGTGCCTTACAGGGCTGGAAATGCTGACTGCTTCTCAATTCCCAATAGGAAGATTCCACATTAAAAAGATCTTAAATGTAGACACTCTACTTTGAGTCTCAGCTAAACCAGGTAACGCTGGCTGAGGGTAAGGCAGAGGGAAGGGTTTCTCCCTCAGTGAATTCCATGTGCATGAAAGTTTCCACCAGGATGAGAGCGAGCAAGAGAGGAGGGGAAGAGAGAAAGGCACTGGGGTGAAGAAGAAATAAGGCACCATTGAGAATTTTATGTAGCAAAAACTGTGACTCTGATCATTAAGATATGAAAGTAAATGGAGACTTTTAGAACAGAAACTGCCAAATTTGGAAAGGTATTCCTCCCCAAGAGTGAATGGGAGCTAAACTGTAGAATTTACTTATTTCCAGAGTAGGGGGCTTCAGTGGAACTGCCCAGAAAGATTCATAGCTTCCAGGGACTCTTCACTTTTACACAAGTTTTACCGGTTTCATTTTCAAAATAGAATCTTAAATTGTAGCTACTCTATATAATCTTTGTTATTTTATATTTGTATGTTTGGGAACAGAGTGTGTAGAGCCCAATAAGTTTGGGAAAAGCTAGATTTAGAAAGAAAAACATTTCTTTATTGGTGTTTGATTTGTTAGTGAGCATAATACACCTTCCCAACCTATAGGCCCATAGAGAGTATTTTCCAAATTTACATGACCACAGAACCCACGTTTCAGTTAATCTACAGAATGACTAGGACATTTCTCCTCCACCATGAAAGGGGAAATTAGCTGGGTTCAAACTTTTAGAAAATATATACATTTAGAAAAAAGATAAAAGAAAATGTTGGAGAAAAAATAAAGAAAATAAAGAGAGGAAGAAGAATTACAAGCAATTTTATAAAAGTTACCTAATGGGAAAGAACTTAAGAAAAAGCAGACAGTACTTAACAAAGTCTGATATTCTCAGAAGTCAAGACCATTGGGTGGTCACTGAGATCCTGTAAATAAACAGTACAGTTGAAGGTAAGGTTGGGGCTATTAATTTTTGTTTCCATCCTGGGAGGGTAAATTATCTCTAGATAAACATTGGAAGTTTTCCTTTCATACAATCAGTAAGTAATTGTTGGGTACCTGCCTATATTTCAGGTTTAATCCAGAAGTTCTGTAAAATCAAGCACTGTTCCTTTGGCAGGAAGTTGTAGTCTGGTGACAGAGCCTACAGGAAGCAGAGATATCTCCAGACCCTGCAAGAACCATCATTACACTGCCATCACTTAATGGAAGGAGCCCTTGAAGTTACTTAGTGAGCAAACTTGTGCCCCCTTGTGGTCTGTTTGTTGAACTTGTTCATGATGAAAAAGGGTTAATATGTTCCAGGGATTCCAAGTATCTCCACCACTGCATATTAATATATTGGTGTCTGGTTATCTGTCAGTCCACTGAGAGTTTAATTGTTTTGAACCAGCTGGTTGTTAGTATCAACTTGAAAAATGGACAAAGACCTATATTTAAAAAGAAATCAAATTCTAGTTAAGACTTTGACTGAACTTGGACATCTAACCCATCCTTACCTTGCTTCTATAAGAACAGAAGCAAGTCCTTGAACTGTTGGCACCTCTGTTTCCCTATGAAATATGGGTGATACTAATAGTTTGCTCCCTGACATCATAAACATCTCAGAGTTGCAAGAAATCTTACAGGTTTTTAAATCCACACCATTCTGAACATAGCAAGCACTCACGTTCACACTGGTGTGTAGGCAAATGGGCCTCCAAACACACACACACACAAAAGGGAGGTCTGATAAACTGTAACAGATTATATCATTAATCTTTTTACTAGAAACAGGCAAGCATTTCCCATGTTTAATAAAGAAGTTTTCATTGGTTACGTTATTTCTACAATTTGAGATTAACACTGATCCACTGTCAGTTCAATCCCTTCCTACCTGTCAGAGAAAGGTGAGAATAAAGTGAATTGAACATGCGTGACCAGATCGTGCGTGGTTGCCAAAGCGCTCAGCACCACATCTGCCCTCAGCAGCTACAGGGCTGCTGCTACAATTACAGGAGCAGCTCCCAGGTTGCTTCTAAGGGTCTCACATGGGGAGGCTCCTCTGGGATTATATTGAAGTAGAACCGAGGGCTGTAACAGAGTGGTCAGGGAAATGGAAAAGGAAGTGCCAAGTATAATGAGGCATTTGTTTTCAAGTCAGAATTATTAGATCACCAAGACATTTACCAATAAGACAAAGTAAAAGAATGAATCCAAGTAAAAATCTGTCATTAAGTTTTACTCATGGCACCTCGGTTTCCAGGGATGATGGTGTCCTTGAAATAGACATATCAATGGTCCAAATTCCCACCCTGTGTAGCTAAAGCAATAACTTAGCCTGACTACAAATGCCATTTGTTATCTGTGATGACTCCCAAGAGGCAGAAGAAGAGGCTGAGGCTCCTGTAGGGCCAGTAAATTTGCCTTAGGAAATAGCAAAAGGATGGTACACGCCCAGTAACTGAAGGGAGTTGTCTGCTTTCCTCCTGTAATAAAGAAGTGCCATGTTTTATCTGTGTTATCTGCTTTAGGCCTCACAGACTTCCCTCCCCCCGTGACTGGTAATATTGCTCCAGTTTTACTGACTGAGATTCACATTATTTCATAATTCATTCAGATTTATGCAGCTACTAAGCAGCTGAGCTGGGATTTGAATGCGTTTTATCTGATTTGAAGTGATTCTCTTTGTTGTACTTCTCTCTTCCCTTTCCAAGATGACATAGGTCTGTCTATATTCTATATGAACACATTTAAATGACAATGGACGCTCTGATTCATCTCACTTTATTTACAGTTATGAGGAAAATTACTTTTTAAAAATAAAAAATACTGTTTACTGACCAAAGGCCAGTTACCCGGCTTCTAGATCACTCATTTACAATGCAGGCAAACAACCTCCCCCCACCCCCCCAAAAAATACCCTACCAACATAATCCACAAGGAAAAAATGCACTCTCCAAAGATTTCTAAACATGATTGCCTCCAGAGGGAGGTAACTTGTCCCAGAAAGCCACTATAGATTATGATGATAAATATTGTACCGGATCAACAGAACTGGGAAATATAATTTATTAGGAGCAACTCTGCACTACTGGTTTCCAGACCTTTCTGTGTCAGGACATCGAACAAAGAAAAATCCTATGGTTCTGGTTTCAGACAAAAATTGAAAAGAAAAAGAAAAAAGAAGAAGAAAGAAAGGGGGAAAAAACACCTCATAAATAGGCCAAGTAAAGTGGACCATGAGGCAACAGCTCCTCCTACAGTATCTGAGACGGTAGCATTTTAAAGATTTGTTGATAGATTCATTTCTGGAAAATGAACCTGCCCCCCAAATGCTAGTTTTTCTCTTCTTGGTCTGCTCCATGCCTCTTTCCAGGCTCAAATGAGTTGACTCTCCTTCCTCCAAACACCGGGAATCTCCTCCTTTTATTTCAAACCCAGTGAGCACTAGGTTTAACTTCACTCACGCTTAGCGAAAAGTGGCTTGAGGAAGTCCCCTCCCTAGAGCAATTTCAATTCTAACAAAACAGAAATTTTAAATGAGTCTGCACATGCAAAAGGCTAGCCCCATAGCCCTGGTGTGATGGCCCCCAGTAAAAGACCCACCAAGAAGGTTTTTGAATAGGGTCCTAACTCAACTGATTTTCTGCCCACATACTCTGAAACCCCAGACTGCTTCAAAGGTTGATGGCTTTTGTTGGGTGCCTCTTAATTTTCAGGCTTAATTTCTAGTCTGACCACAAGATGGCATAACTCTCCAACAGTTGACTTCCTGTACAGGCAGAGCCCCAGGGTACCTTCAACAAGGCAGGCAAACAATTTGGTAAAAACACCAGGAGGGTCCTTGCATGTCCCTCTTGGCTATCTCCCCACATGACCCCTTTGGACAAAAGATCTATTAAATTAGCAGACTTTACCTTCGAGGGAAACTTCAGAAATAAGGAAAATACTTGAATCATGAGCTCTTGAGCACTAAGTTCTTGTTAGTATTTAGGCATGGATATTCTAATACATAGCATCAGAAACTACCACTATTTTAAAAGGAATCATACAGCAAACCATTTTAAAGAAAGTTTTAATTTTTTTCTGTTTCACTGTATTTATGAAAAAAAAAAACAATGATGCTTATTTTTTCTCAAAATTTTCTCCATGCTTGTGATCCCCCCCCCCCTTTTTTTCCCTGTCTTAGGGCTGGTCAACAGAATGTCTACTCTGGATTTTTAGCTGGTCTTGATCATTGATTCCGAATATATAAACAAAGCACACACTCATATACACACATGCATGTATGCAAAAACATCCGTGCACACCCACAGCTGCTCTTCCAATAACCTAAGTTACAGCCTAAATTATAAACAAGGCTGCCACCCTCCGTTTCCATGGCAAGACCTGACAAAGGTGTCTGCCTGATCCCTGTCTCCTTTTCCCAGGCAAGACCTCCATTTTCATCCCAGGCCCTCCCTGTAGCTCTTCCCTGGCAGTCTCCCACCCTTCATATGCACATTTGGTGGTTGAAGGTGCCAGCCAGCCCTTAGACCCACATCGGTAAATATCACCAAGAAACGTGTTTGTATGTATGTAGTTCAGCAAATCCTGTAGCTCCAGAGGCTACAACTTCCATCCAAGAGGCTTTTGTTTGTGTGGAAAAGAAACATTGAGAAGAAGTGTATGTCAGAGAGCTATGGAGGTATTCTGGACCGTACGCATTGTTTTTCAAAACATAGTTAAGTGAAGTGATGATATTCGGGAGAAATGTATATTTTATTTATTTATTTTTTAACCTCCCTCCCATACCCAAATCTGCAACTCCTATCTCTTCCTCTCTTAAAGCGCCTCTGCTTCTTTCTCTGCGACCTGACTCTGGGCTCCAAGACGAAACACGAGCTCCGCCTACCGACCGCTGGTGATAAAGACAGCCTCGCTCAAGCCCCACCCGAGGTTTTTCTCCTAGGTGTGGTCCAGGTTACAAAATTGCTTCAAGCCTCACAGGCTTGAAACTTCATACATTTGGAGGCAGAGTTTGGCTTCACCTCTACAAAAATATTTTCGACAATGGATTTCTTATTCAAATGCATATGATGGTAAAATCAACTTTCTATTCCACTGTGCTGGGGTCTTGAAGACTATATCATGAGACCTATCCATCTGGCTCTAGCAATTTCCTAATCCAGTCCGGTGACAAGACTCTGAACATTTCCTCTGTCCTAAGTCCACTGCAGTGGATCCTAAGAGATGGAAAGAATGGGCCCCAGGCACAGTCACTGGAGTCCAGGGCAAGTCACGAGTGGCAGGCAATTGAAAAAACATTTTGCGCATTTTTTTTTCCTAATCTACATGGAGCTGACTCGGAAACTCTTACTGTCCCTTCTATTCTTACTAGAGATTGATGGTTTTGTCCTGAATTTTTATAGTCTGTGAGGCATCGTTCAGAATTGTCCCAGCATTCACTCATCCTTGCTTGGATATTCATTTGGCAAATATTTATGCTTCCTGACACTTTTCTTAGGTTCTCAGTTCTAGAGGGGAAGTAAAAAAGTTTGCCACTCTCAGAAATCCAAACAGACATGCAAATAGAGTAAGGTGGGCTAGAGTGGAGGACTGGGGGGGGGTAATGTATCGCCATAGTAACAGGTGAAGGAGCTGCGTGTACCATCCTTTGGTCTTTGGGTTTCATTTCCTTCTGTCCTTGGGAATCCAGTCAGCCTATTATTGTCCTCTAGCTCACTTTGAACTTGTCATTAAAAAAAAAAAAGAAGAAATCTTCCTCTTGAGAACTCTGGGTTTCCAATATTTCACATACAATCATATAACACCCAAGTAACTGTTTTGCCACCAGCCCATTCTTGATTTCTTAAAATCCAATAATGATTTGCTTTCATCATGATTGTTGTAGAGGACATAATATCCTTAGGAATGTTAGGTGGGTGGATTTTTTTAACTCCTGTAAAGTCTGTTGCCTTGCCTTATTATACCTGTTAAAACCACAGTATTGATCCATTCACAGGGAAGGTAACACCACTTAGAACGAAGAAGTAATTTCCTAAGTCTTTGTGTTTCAACCTGAAATTGCCCGAATCTAAAGTCATTTATTAGTCTAAAAACAAGTGTTTTGACATGGCAAAAGAAAAATAAAGTTTTATTGAGACAGCCAAATATTTTATAATGGAAACCAGCCAGAACTTGGAGAACTAACAGTAGAATAGATCCCAGAGCCGGGAAGAATTCAGAATATGACACAGGAGGGAGGTCCAACATGCTTTGGGTGCTGGCATTGAGGAGGAGCCGCAGGCAAGGTGTCAGGCACAAATGGCTTCACTTTCTTTTCTCCCTGCTTTTGGGAATGCAACTCACATGTTGGGATAGAAATTCCTGC